CACTTCCTGAAGCTTTAACTCTCTTAGCCCAGCGACCAACGGTGCTCCTATCGACTGCACAGCTTCCATACACAGCACACCAACGTTTATGAATGTTCACCACCGTTTCTTTTTCAGCAACAAAGAATTCAATTACAGCTCGTTGTTTGTAACGAGAGTCGTTCACAGACGCCATTTTAACAGTTCACTACAGCTCCGCTATCGGTTGGAATCATTTGAAACTCCGTACACGAACGCGGGAAACATCAAATCTCAAGCATGTAAAAGTGCACTTTTCTATCTTCATTATTGGCTGAGAAAAAAAATGTGGGGCATTACTTAATGAGCGACCCTCGTACTTAACACAAAATATATGTCACGCCGTTAACTCTTCAACAATGTTTGCTGTGTGTGTGTGTGTGTGTGTGTGTGTGTGTGTGTGTGTCTGTGTCCACCAAGTTGTTGTTATCACTGTTATGTAACAACACATGTAAGACGTAATTTTGCTGAAAGCCACAATCTGAGTACTGCAAATCAGGCACAAATTCTGGGGTTTCGAGGGTAATGCCCCTAATTTCACATATTTAATGGGATATTGTACGAGCTTGGATATTTTAATACGTAATAAAGACAACGTCTAAACTTTGTTCTGTTACAAAAGTAATTTATGAGCGCAGATATTTTGAGTGTAGAAATATCTCCAGTCGTTACTGTATGTTTTGTACCATCCAATTAAAATTATTTCCGTAGATGTATATGTTTTCATTTATTATTTATTTCTAAGGGTCCGTTAGTATATCAGACTATGAAGAGTCAAATTATAGGATTATACGTGTAAGATTTGAGGTTTTCACAGCAGTGAGTATGAAGATTCCTGTCTTCTGGGTTGTTGCGCTGTGTAGTCTGGTCGATATTAACCAACGTTTCAGAGGTCATACTGCCTCCGTCATCAGGGCGATCTGATGACGGACTTTTTATTTAAACCGTATTTCTGTTTTTATTAAAATATTTAATAAAACAAATATTTTTATAATAATCCATATCACTTTTTTTACTCAGTCGAAAGCTTTTATCTCATGTGGACGGGGGGGGAGGGGGGGGTGAAAGAACACCATGCCACTTTATCTAATGTAGAATACGCCCAACAGACAACAATAGCTGAGTTTCCCCTCAGATATAATAAATTAATCCAAGCTGAAAAACTGTGACATAATGCAAACACGAAATTATTTCATCGAATCTGGTGTTTCATCCGACCACTTTTCGTCAGACACAATTCCTCGAATTTTTGTACGTTATTATTACGTCTGTTTTATTCAAAGTAATTCAATACAAACTCATTCAGAATAAAATACCTCTACTGTATGTCTTATCAGACGGTGTGGTATGATATCCCAAAGAAACGTGAAGAGACGGAGTTACGTCATGCTCTTACTTACACTGAAAGAACATTATTACGCAGCTCCGCGTAATTTATTAAACAGGAGACTGAAAAACACAGACCGAATGGGCTTGAATGTACCACATTCTCGCGTTCGCAAGCAAATAGTTTTCGTTCTTGTTTATAATATTGCTTCTTGGTGTTTGAGAATAGGGTGTTGAGGAGGATATTTGGGCCTAGGAGAGAAGACGATGGGGTCTGGAGAAAACTATTTAATGACGAACTTAAAAATTTATACTCTTCCCCCAATATTGTCAGAGTGATTAAGTCGAGAAGAATGAGATGGGCTGGGCATGTAGCGCGCATGGATGGGACAAGAGGTGTGCACCGGGTATTGGTTGGGAAGCCTGAGGGGAAGAGACCGCTGGGGAGACCTAGACGTAGATGGGAGGGTAATGTCAGGCGGGATCTATGGGAGATAGGAGTTGAAGGAAACTGGATTTTGTTGGCCCAGGACAGGGTCCGGTGGAGGGCTTTGGTTAATTCGGTGATGAACCTTCGGTTTCGGTAAGCCATCTAGTTAGATAGTTAGTTAGTTGGTTACTTAATATTGCTTCTTGGATGGCACATTAGTCATAATACTTGATAAGGTTCACATAAATAGAGCTTGAATATATAAAACAGGACCTATCGATACAAAACTTGCAATTACTTCGAAACAAAAAATGTTATTCTTCCAGGATGCTGATGCCACACAAATTTAGGGGAAAAGAAATGGATAGGAAATAGGAAATGAGAATGTATAAAATAATTTGCTGTAAACAGATAAGTGGATGGCTAAGGTGCGCCTTCAAGGTCTTCTGAGTAGAGCGAGAACCGACGTAAATATGTCATTATCTTTAAGATGCTTTATCTCGTAACTCTGACTATCGTTTGTTTTTTCTGGTACGTTAAACCTTCCATATTTCCCAGAAACACGTAGTCCTAGACCTTAAACGAGCAGTGATAATGGATATATATGATCTGCGTAGTTATTACCTATTCATTTAATAATATAACTCACATACACTTCAGAATATTAAAGGCAGTGTTTCTCGAAACCGCAAATTTTAATTATCTTCCTACAAATATACAAGGCCTTAGAACCCAAAAGACCAACATCTAAGAAATTACCAGTAGAGGCTGTCTTACATTTACGAAGAGTTTGAATTATGTATTCTGTTTCATTTTAATTCACCGTGAAGGGAGCCATTTATACCACAAGTAAGAAATATTAAGAATAATTACATTTCTAAAC